GGTTCTAGTGCTGGAAAAAGATATTCACCCCAGTTTGTAAAGGCTGCTAAGTTACTCCATTGGAATGGACATTTTAAGCCATGGGGAAGAACTGCTTCATACACTGATATATGGGAAAAATGGTATATTCCAGATCCAACAGGCAAATTCAGTCTAATCCGAAGACATACGGAGATCTCAAACATAAAGTAAAACAATTTAACTGTAAGTCTCTCTCAGGAAATCCTGGAAGACAGCATGTGGAAAGTAACTTATTGGTAGGTGTCAATGCCTATCTGTAGCAACCCAAGGAAAACCATTTCATCTGAGTAAAGATGACAGTTTATGCTTTCAAGATGTGTCCCATCTGCCTCACCAGGTGTTTGCTTATTAGTGTGAACTGACCAGAATGGACCCATACAACTGGTGTAACTAGTACACCTAGTTCAAACTGCTGATGGATCTAAACTTCATAAGCTGTGGCCTGATGTATAAATAAAACCTAATTTTCAGTACATTTGTTTCCAGATAACTACTTCCCTCACTGTATTAAGTTAATCCTTTTATCATTAAATGTGGACACTTTTCTAAATTGTTTAATTGCTTTAATGTGTACATGATACTCATTCTCAAAATTTAAACATACCAAATTTTGGTGTGTATGACATAGCAAAACATTGTAGCAGTTTGCCTTAAATGTTAAGATCCACATGAAAGGATGAGTTATACAAAATCTCTGCTGAAGTCATAAGCATCATCCTCTTTGGTCTTTTCATCCAAGATAGTAAGAGATCTTGTAGATGGTTCACCTACATTGAACAGAAATAGACAGGATTTAAACAAACAAATGTACTTATATGGCAAGCTGCTTTGTGAAGTCCTCTGCCCCAGATTCACCTGCAATACTAGATTCCTCTGGTAGTGCCTCCTCTTTTGTTTCTTCTATATGGGACATTTCTGAGATCTTTTCCTATGGGACAGAGAAATGGTACAATCAGCAATCCTTGCTTATATGATCATAAGCCTTAAATACTTAAAAACTGTGGGAACCCAGGGAGATAGCTGAGTGGCATAAGGACCTACCTGGCAAGAGATCCTGGTTTCATTGCCCAGGACAAACAAACAAACAAAAACTGTATGGGGCACTTCTTTTGATCAACTGCATGCTACTTTCCCCATTTAACCTTACATTTATTATAAATCATGAAGGTAGAAAAGCACTTCAGCTTTAAATAACTTACAGAGAACACCCTTCACACCAACTTTACAATCAACACTTTCCTGGTTACTGACCTTCTCTTTGTCATCCTCGGTTTCCTCTTGTTTCCTCTCTCCCCTCTGTTTTGGCAATTCTTGTATGTCTTTCTCCTCTGTTATTCCATTTGTCAGACCCAAAGACCAGAAAAGGATGCTATTGGCTGAACAAGGGCCCTGGATGACTAGGAAAGGAGCAAAACCTAATGAGGCTTCTATCAGCACATCAACAGAAGAAAACACCAGTGAAACACAAGTCTCACTCACCTTGTATGCTGTGTGCATTGTTCTTGTCCAGTTCTTCCAGATTAAAGCCCCCTTTCATATCTGCCACAATACTTTCATTAAAATGTGGAGAAAGAGTCCAGGATGCAGGGGGCTGGCAATAGTAACCTAATGAAGCACTGGTATTAAAAATAAGATCTGTCAAAAGCCAGTTGCTTTATTCTAAGTATTGATCAAAACACCAGAGAGAAAACTTACCCTGTCCACTCGGACCACAGCAATTTGGCAGCACGTTCAACGTTTGGGCTTCCACCTTTTTGGTGCAGTCCTCTTCTTTGAGCAAGATTAGTAAAAAATTCTAGAGAATTCTTATAGTCTGGGACATTGTATTTTAGAATTACCTTTAAAAAAAAAAAAAAAGGAAGGAATTGTCATTCATCTGACAACACAGTAGGTTTTTAGAACACTTGAAAATTAATTAAAAAGGGGGAGCATTTACCTGTCTAGCATCAGCCTGGGACAGGATGGCACTGGCAGCCTCCAGTGGCTTTACTACCTCAATACTTGCTGGACTTCGTAGAGCAAGGGCCGTGGGGGAGTTGAGTGGTGACACAATGAAACTTGGGCTATCTAAAATTGTGATCTGTTTGTCCAAGGGAACAGCCTGCATACTCCTAAAATAAGACCAATTATTTTGGCACTTGTTTTATCTACAAGATTAGATGTAGACAATGAAGCTCAGGGTTGGATTGAACAAACTCAACACAGTGAGTCAGATCCAATTCATCATCATTTGCTTCATGGATATCTCAAATCCTAAGAGGATATTCACCTCTTTGAAAGAGAAACTACATGTTATAGCTTCTACGTCTACATCTAACAGTTAACAGCTATTTCTCGTACCATAATATTTTACCTGGAAAGCTTCTATTCCATTTTCAAAGCCAAGGCCAAATTCAAGAAAAACACTGTTGGAGGCAGCTTTCATTTTTTTCCCTCAATCTACTTGTCTTTCAAACCAAATTGGGGACAACTATTCCCACTATAATTTTCCTCCAAACCTATACTCTATACCACTGTAAGCCTGAGCCTTTTCCTTTCTTTGACTTTAAATAAAGAACAACACAAGGTCCTGAGTTCAATCCCCAGTACTGCCAAAAAAAAAAAAAAGTTTAGCTTACCTTGTAAGCCCCATGGATATACCAACGTTACATACTCGTTCACGTTTTAAGCTATTAATAATGCTGCTTTTCCCCACATTTGGGAAACCTATAAAAAGGGGAAGAGGGAGATTCACAGACACAAGACATTAAATTTAATGTACTGGTAATCATAAAATTTTCACTGCTCAATTTTATGTCTGCCTACTGCTTCTTGCCATTATCAGAGTTGGATGTTAGTGTCTAAATTTCAACACTAAGACATACTTTGCTTCATTTCTTGCACAAGCGATGAAATTATATATGTAGGTAATTCACTTTTTGTGGTGCTGGGGACTGAACCCAGGGCCTCCCACATGTGAAGCATATGCTCTCTTCCACTGAGCTACAGCCCCAGCTATCAATGGGCTTTAGAATTCAACTTCCTGTACTGCCCAGTCTTAGTAAGGAAATAAACCTGGCAGCAATGAAGTTTTTAAGTTGTATTTATGTGATGTGATGAAATAGACAAGATCAATGCTTTTGAGGAAGCCCTTCATTTCGAGATGTTCTTAAGAAGCAAAGATGCTTGGTGGAGTATCTTGACACTTAAAAGGCAGAATTCAATAAACTGAAACTTACCAATTACTCCCACCTGGATAGGCTTGCCATAAGTCTCCTGAAAACCTTCAAGAAGTTTACAAAGACCCTCTTTGCCAAAGCAGAAACTGCTTTTCGGTGAGACAGCTTTCCTCTTTACCTTCACCTGTTAAAATTTCAAATACATTAATTTTATTATTCTGAAAACACATAAATCCCAATAAATTAGCACTACAGCCCAGCTCTTAAACAAGAGGACGGATTTCTTCAGATGATCTTTGGATGAAATCAGAGTTGGATCTTGTTATTTTTCACTTTTTTTATCAACTTCTCATATACTCATCATATTTCAACCATCCGAAATCTGAAAGAACACTTCCCACCATTAACAATGAAGTGTACCTTGCTTATTCTCCTTCTATCCTTTGGATTTGTTGAGGCTTTGAACACTACAGTTGGCAATTCTTTTGTCAAATAATTCAGCCACTTCTCCAAATTCTCCTTTGGTATTAGATCTGATAGAAATTAAGAACAAAACACAAACTTCAATTTTGTCTTGCTGGGTTTATAAAAATCTGGAGGGCTGGGGAGATGGTTCAGTAGAGTAAGTGCTTGCCTGGCACGTACAAGGGCCTGAGTTCAATCCCCAAGTGGATTCTTCTCATTTGCCTTTTCTCAGTTTCTTTTTTTTTTTTTTAATTTTTATTTTTATTTATTTATGTGTGTGTGTGTGTGTGTGTGTGT